CTGAGGGGGAAGGGGGTCTACCGGGGGAGGACTTGGTGCAAGGAAGAGCAGCCGCAGGGGGAGGGGCGCAGTGCGGTAGGGGAAGAGACGGTAGTAAGGCACCGACTCGTCAAAGGTGACGTCCTGAGAGGACAGAACACGGCGCGAGGTGGGGTGGTAAAACTGCCAACCAGGCGCGTCAGGGGGGAAGCCAAGGAAGACGCAGGGAATAGCACGGGGGGACAACTTGTCCGCAGACAAGTCGCGGACAAACGCCCGAGATCCCAAGACCCGAAACGCAGACGCATTGCCAACCTTCCCCGTCCACCGCAAGGTGGGGGAGGTCTCTGGCAAGGAGACACGGGGCTGAAGGTTGAGCTAATGCGCGGCGTACTGAACCGCAAACGGCCACAGAAAATGGGGGGCAGCCGCATGCATCATGGACGTACGAGCGACGTCCATGACCATGCCAATGCGGCACTCAGCAATCCCATTTTGCTGTGGAGAGGCCGGAAGCGTGAAGGTCTGGCGGATGCCCTGTGCACGACAGAAGGCTCCCAGACGGGCAGAGGAAAACTCCCCGCCTCTGTCCAAGTGCAGACGCAGAACAGGAAAGTCCGAGCCAGAACTCTCCCAGGGCTGGAGACGAGCTGCGCGGATCCAGTCGATCAACACCTCAGTGACGTCACCCTTGCTGCGCAAGGGGAAGACTGTGGTGTAACGCGAGTAGTCATCAACCACCAATAGGAAGTAACGCTTGTGCCCCTGTCCACGGGCGCGGGCGGGGCCTTACATGTGTATGTGGAGGGTCTCCAGCGGGGCCTCTGTCGGAGGAAACTCGGAGGAGTGAGGGGCGGCGCGCTGTCCCCCCTCGACGCAAGGGACGCAGGTAGGGCCAGGCCCCGGAGGTAGGGGAGGGAGAGACCGAGGAAGACCAGAGATAAGGACACGGGAGGCCATGCATCGGAGACGAGGCAGGGAGGGGTGACCAAGGCGGTGGTGCCAGAGGAGAGTCTGGTGGGACAGGAGACGACACGAGCAGGGAGCAGACTCAGGACCAGACCTGGACGCTGCAGCAAACACCTGACTCGACGCAGCTACCTGGCCAGACTCAGCAGTCGGAGGAGAGTCAGTAGTAAGGGTGTACAGGTTCGACCGTGGCCGACGTGTGAACGCGGCCAAGTGTCGGCCTGTCCGAGCACACGTGCAGTGGGTCACCCGCTGACTCGCAGGAATGAACCGGTCAGCCCCTCTCGATCCTGTAGGTCCGCTCCACTCACCAAGTTCGTAGAGAACGAGGGGTGGTAGAGACCTGACAGGGTGCCAGAGGGGGCTGCCGGGCACGGTAAAACAGTGGAGAAGCTAGCAAGGACAGGACCCCCAGAGGGGTCCGCTAGGGAGACTGCAACCGGCCGACTGAGCGGCGTAAGAGTGGTGCGGTCTCGAAAGAAGGAGCGGGACGCACCCGAGTCAAGGGTGAAGGTGTGTAAGGCCTGAGCCAACGTAGTACCTGAGAGAGCAGACTCACCCGCACCTGGGGCAGCAGACGCACTAGTACCTGGGGCAGCAGACGCACTAGCACCTAGAGCAGCAGCCTCACCAGCACCTAGAGCAGTGGCCTCAATGCCCGGGTCAGGCGGTACACACAGGTAACAGGCACCCTTAACACTAGTAGTCACGGCATACATGGCAGCAAGGATAGCATCATAGTCAAGATCAAAGATGGCAACCCCCGCCCTAGACAGATCTCCCCAGCGAGGGATTTCTGACGCTTCAGGGAACTAGTGACGCCACGCGTCTGTCAGGCGATCGAAGCAGCGCTGGGTGGAGTGCGGGCCCTCGCACTGCTCACCAGTGCGGTCGCCGGTACGCAGGACGTAAGTGCAGGGACCAGTACCCCCACCGCGCTGACGCGCAGTGTACCACTTACGAAGCTGCTGAGGGGACAGGGTCACACCACGATGCTGCTGTGGGGCGGACCACCACCTGACCCACTCCTCTGCGCAGAGTCTCGACCCACTCCACCACCGCCGCCGCCGCCGCCTCCGCCGCCTCCTCCACCTCCGCCTCCTCCGCCACCTCCGCCGCCTCCGCTCCCTCCGCCATCTCCGCCGCCTCCTCCGCCTCCACTGCTGCCGTCGCCGCCGCCACCCCCGCCACCACTCCCACCACCACCCCCACTCCCTCCACTGCCTCCACCACAACCTCCACCGCCCCCGCTAGCCCCTCCAGTTCCCTTGCCCCCCTTGCCCTTGCTGGTGCGGCGTCTCCCGCTAGGGGCAGACGCAGCGCCGACCCCGGAGAAACCAACGAGGTCGGCAGCAGCAGCAGAAGCAACAGAGGGCAAGTGGGGGGAGGGGGAACACCCCTCAAAGACGGGGGTGCGAGGGTCACCACGAGAGGCTCCTACAGCGACTATGCTCTTCTTTGCTGCTAGGAGGCCCTTCTCGAGGAGGTCAACGGTGAGAGTGGTGGGGCAAACTGAGAGGAAGTGGTCCCTGACTACGCGGAGAGAGTCAGGGAGCCGGGTGACTATGTAGTAGAGGGTGATGTACATGGGGGGGGTTCTTGGCGAAGAGCTCAGCAGGAAGTGCAGCGCGGTAGCGAGTGTCACTAGTGCGGAGGTGCGTAAAGAGGTTAGCGACTATGGGAAAGGCAGGAAGGTTAGGGAAGAGGTACGGTAGCATGAGGCGACTCAGTGCAGCAGTGGCAGAGGAAGAGTAGCGTGCAACTACAGCGTCCTACAAGGTCTGAGCACTCTTGTACTGGCTAAAGTGTGCACGCTCAGTGGTCGGTTAGTGGCGACGCACAACAAGACGAGCAGCAGCATCGCGTGTCGCCCACTGTGAGCGAACAGTGCTGTCAGTAGTAGCAGGCGGGGCAGGGGAGGCACCAGAGGTGAGGTCGAACAGAGAGAGGCCGTCTGCCCTATCGCACTGGAGGAATTGCTGAAGGTCATCGACCTAGACCTCAAAGTCAACAGCACGGCCCTCAGTGTCAGAGGTAAGAACACTGGGGGTAGCCATGACCGCAGCGGTCTAGCAAGGAATAGGCTCACCAGTACGAGGAAGTAGGGCCGGGGCGCGTCGGTAGAACTGGTAGCTGCTCAGCGGCTCGGCTGCTGGTCGGCTCGGCGGTCGGGCAGCTCGGCGGATCGGCTGCTGGGCGGCTCAGCGGCTCGGCTGCTGGGCGGCTCGGCTGTCGGGCGGCTTGGCGGCTAGGCGGCTCGGCGGCTCGGTTGCTGGGCGGCTCAGCTGCTGAACAGCCTAGCTGCTGGGCGGCTCGGCTGTAAGGCGGCTCGGCGGCTAGGCAACTCGGCGGCTCTGCAGCTGGGCGGCTCGTGTCAGAATGCTATATAGCTTATACATTTGTGTAGGCTATAGTGGGGTATCCCATAGGGGGTACAACCCAATTAGGGTTAGTACTTGTACTCACTCATTTCATAGTTGATTCATTCTCTTGTTCTCATTCTCACATGGTATCAGAGCAGGTCCCCTCCTAGGGACTGTTCCTAGGGCCCACCGAAGCGCGCCTCGAGTCGCGCTCTCCCCATTTTTTTTTCCTAGCGGCCCGTCGTGCCGCCCTTACGGTCGCGTCGAGCCGCCCTAGCGGCCCCGCCGCCCTACCTAGTGGCCCCGCCGCCCTACCTAGCGGCCCCGCCGCCCTACCTAGCGGCCCCGCCGCCCTACCTCGCGGCCTCGCCGCCCCATTGCGCGGCCCCGCCGCCCTACCTAGCGGCCGCGCCGCCCTTACTCGCGACCCCGCACCCCCCATCGCGCGGCCCCGCCGCCCCATCGCGGCCCCTCCGCCCCATCGCGCGGCCCCGCCGCCCTACCTAGCGGCCCCGCTGCCCTTCCTCGCGGCCCCGCCGCCCCATCGCGCGGCCCCGCTGCCCTACCTAGCGGCCCCGCCGCCCTTCCTCGCGGCCCCGCCGCCCCATCGCGCGGCCCCGCCACTCTAACTCGCGGCCCCGCCGCCCTACCTCGCGGCCCAGCCACTCTACCACGCGGCCCCGCCGCCCTATCTCGCGGCCCCGACGCCCTACCCAGCGGCCCCGCCGCCCTTCTGCAGCGGCCCCGCCGCTCCTCTGCAGCGGCCCCGCCGCCCTACCCTGCGGCCCCGCCGTCCTTCTACAGCGGCCCCGCCGCTTCTCCGCTGCGGCCTCGCTGCCCTATCTAGCGGCCCCGCCGCCCTCCTCTGCAGCGGCCCCGCCGCCCTACTTCAGCGGCCCTGCGGAGCCGCCCAGCAGCAGAGCAGCCGAGCCGCCCCGCCGCCGAGCCGCGCTGCATCCGAGCCGCCCGGCCGCCCACCAGCCGAGCCGCCGTGCAGCCGACCGCCGAGCCGCCCAGCTGCCGAGCCGCCCAACCGCCGAGCCGCCCAGCTGCCGAGCCGCCCGAGCAGCCCTATCCGGTGAGCACAGACCCTCTTTCACTGCGTGCCCTTCCCCTACTGCTTGCACTGCTGGTCTACTGCTGTCATGGCTACCCCTAGTGTCCTCGCTTTTGACGCTGAGGGTCGGGCCATTGACTTTGAGGTCTGGGTAGATGACCTACAGCTGTTCCTACAGTGCGATAGGGCGGACGGCCTCTCTCTCTTTGACCTCACTTCTGGCGCTTCCCCTGCCTCTGCTGCTGATGCTAAACCCACTGTTCGCTTCCAGTGGGCCGCGCGCGATGCTGCTGCACGTCTTGCTGTGAGTCGCCACCTCCCTACCTCCGAGCGTGCGCACTTTAGTCAGTACAAGAGTGCTCAGACCTTGTACGACGCTGTAGTCGCGTGCTACTCCTCCCCTTCCACTGCTGCACTGAGCCTTCTCATGCTGCCGTACCTTTTCCCTGACCTTGCTGCCTTTCCCACCGTTGCTGACCTCATTACGCACCTCCGCACTAGTGACACTCGCTACCGCGCTGCACTTCCTGCTGACTTCTGCACCGCGAACCCCCCCCCCCATGTACATCACTCTGTACTTCCTAGTCACTCGCCTCCCTGACTCCCTTCGAGTAGTAAGGGACCACTTTCTCTCAGTCTGTCCCACCACACTCATTGTAGACCTCCTCGAGAAGGCCCTCCTCGCGATAGAGAAGAGCATAGTCGCTGTAGGAGCCTCTCGAGGTGACCCGCGCACCCCCATCTTTGAGGGGTGTTCTCCCTCCCCCCTGGTGCCCTCTGTTGCCTCTGCTGCTGCGGCCGACCTCCTTGGTCTTGATTCGGTCGGTGCGGCGTCTGCCCCTAGCGGGAGACGCCGCTCTGGCAAGGGCAAGGGGGGCAAGGGAGCTGGAGGAGCGGGCGGTGGAGGTGGAGGTGGAGGCAGTGGGGGGAGTGGGGGTGGCGGTGGAGGTGGAGGTGGGGGTGGGGGGGTCGGTGGCGGCAGTGGAGGCGGAGGCGGCGGCGGCGGTGGCGGTGGGAGCAGAGGTGGCGGAGGAGGCGGCGGTGGAGGCGGCGGTGGAGGCGGCGGCGGCAGTGGAGGCAGCGGAGGCAGTGGAGGCGGTGGGGGTGGCGGTGGAGCTGGTCGCGGGTCTTTGCAGAGAAGTGGCTCAGGTGGTGGCTCGAGCCAGCAGCACCAGCGTGGTCGTGCGACCCTGTCCCCTCAGCAGCTCCGTGAGTGGTACACTGCACGCCAGCGGGGTGGGGGTTTTGGTCCGTGCACCTACGTCCTGCGCACCGGCGACCGTGCGGGTGAGCAGTGTGGGGGTGCGCACCTCACTCCGCGCTGCTTTGGCCGCCTGACGGACGCGTGGCGACACCAGTTCCCGGAGGCCTCAGAGATCCCTCGCTGGGACGAGCTGTCTAGGGTGGGGGTTGCCATCTTTAATATTGACTTTGATACTATTCTCTCTGCCATGTATTCTGTGTCTATTAGTGATGAGGGTGACTGTTACCGGTGTTTCCAGCCCGATCCGGGCATAAAGACTGCTGCTCTAGGTACTGGTGCGGCTACAGCCCTAGGTGTTTACGACGCTGCTGCTCTAGGTGGTGGTGTGTCTGCGTCGTCAGGTACTGGTGAGTATGCGCTTTCAGGTACTACGCCGGCTTAGGCCTCCCTCACCTTCACTCTTGACTCTGGGGCGTCTCGCTCCTTCTTTCGGGACCGCACCACACTCACGCCGCTTAGTCGGCCGGTTGCGGTGTCTCTGGCTGACCCCTCTGGAGGTCCGGTCCTGTCTCACTTCTCCACAGTTCTCCCGTGTCCGGCGGCTCCCTCTGGCACCCTGTCTGGTCTCTACCTCCCCTCGTTCTCGACGAACCTGGTGAGTGGTGCTGACCTACAGGATGCGAGTGTCCACCAGTTCACTCCTGCGCGTCGGCGAGTGACCCACTGTACAGAGGCTGGCACAGGCCGACATCTCGATACGTTCACCCGTCAGCCGGGGTCGAGCCTGTACACTCTGACCAGTGCGTCTCCTCTAGTTGCTGAGTCTGGTAGGGTAGCTGCGTCGGGTCAGGTGTTTGCTGCGGCGTCCAGGTCTGGTCCTGAGTCTGCCCCCTGTTCGTGTCGTCTCCTGTCTCACGAGACTCTCCTCTGGCACCACCGCCTTGGCCACCCCTCTCTGCTTCGGCTCAGAGGTATGGCCTCCCGTCTTCTTGTGTCTGGTCTCCCCCGGTCACTCCCTCCCCTTCCTCAGGGCCCTGGCCCTGCCTGTGTCCCCTGTGTAGAGGGGCGCCAGCGTGCTGCCCCTCACTCCTCCCGGTTTCCTCCCACAGAGGCCCCGTTGCAGACGCTTCACATGGACGTGTCGGGCCCGACCCGCGTCCGTGGACAGGGTCACGAGCGCTACTTCCTGCTCGTCGTTGACGACTACTCGCGTTACACCGCAGTCTTCCCCTTGCGCAGCAAGGGTGATGTCCCTAAGGTGCTGATCGACAGGATCCGCGCAGCTCGTCTCCAGCTCAAGCAGAGCTTCGGCTCGGACTTTCCTAAACTGCGTCTGCACTCGGACAGAGGCGGAGAGTTCTCCTCTGGCCTTCTGCGTGCCTACTGTCATGCACGGGGCATCCGTCAGACCTTCACGCTTCCGGACTCACCGCAGCAAAATGGGATTGCTGAGCGCCGCATTGGCATGGTCATGGACATCGCTCGTACGTCTATGATGCATGCGGCTGCCCCCCATTTTCCGTGGCCGTTTGCGGTGAGGTACGCGGCGCATCAGATCAACCTCCACCCTAGGGTCTCCAGGCCGGAGACCTCCCCAGCCTTGCTGTGGACCGGGAAGGTTGGTGATGCGTCGGCGTTCCGGGTCTGGGGATCTCGGGCGTTTGTCCGCGACCTGTATGCGGAAAGCTATCCCTCGTGCTGCTCCTTGCGTCTTCCTGAGGTTCCCCCCTTACGCGCCTGGGTGGCAGTTCTACCACCCCACCTCTCGACGTGTTCTGTCCTCCCAGGACATCACGTTTGACGAGTCGGTCCCCTACTACCGCCTCTTCCCCTACCGCATTCCGTCCCCCCCCCCACCCCCACTCTTTCTGGTACCAGGTCCCCCCCAGGTAGACCCCCTCCCCCCTCAGGGTCCTGCCCCTTCAGGTGTGTCCCGGGTAGACGCATTCGAGCCTGTCGAGGTCACTGGTGACTCTGGTGCTGTTGAGGGTGCTGAGGCTGGGGGTGCTGAGCCTGGGGGTGCTGGACCTGGGGGTGCTCCGCCTGGGGGTGCTGAGCCTAGAGGTGCTACGTCTTGGGGTGCTGAGCCTGGGGGTGCTGAGCCTGGGGGTGCTACGCCTGGGGGTGCTGAGCCTAGGGGTGCTACGCCTGGGGGTGCTGAGCCTGGAGGTGCTCCGCCTGGAGATTCTCTGAGCGCTTCATCTCGCCGAGAGCCACTCTCTCCACAGGAGCTGCGTGAGTGGTTTGCCCGGCGTAGGCGTCGTACTGCTGGTGCTGGAAGTTCTTCGGCTGCTGAGGGTGCTGCGGTCGCGGGTCCCGGAGGTGCTCGTACTGGGAGCACTGGAGCTGCTGGACCTGCGAGGTTGTCTGGAGCTGGTGCTGCTGAGGGTGTTGGCGCTGAGACTGCCGCTGGTTGTCCTGCTGGGGGTGCTCCTCGTGCTGCTGGAGGTTCTGAGATGCTGGTGGTGCTGCTGGAGCGGGTGCTCCTGCTGAGGGTTCTGGTGCTGTCCCTGCTGGTTCTAGTGTCACCACGCGGCCTCGACCGTACTTCGTTCCACTCCTGCAGCAGGTTCTTGGTCTTCCACCTTCTACTGGTCCTCCTCCTCCCTTAGAGTGTTCACAGCCTGTTCCGTCCCAGCTACAGCTGCAGCCTACCTCCCCTTTGCCTGCTCCTCCTCCCTACACTGGTCCTACTGGAGGTCTGGCTGAGCGTCGTGAGCCTGCGTCTCGCCCTGCGTCGCCTGTCCGTGCTACTCGCACTAGTGGTCGCGGTTCGCGTCAGCGTCCTCCTCCTGTCCCTGGCACGCACCGGATGTCTCTGCGTGCGTCCACTGCTCCTCTGCGTGCCCCTTTGCCTTCTCCTCGTGAGTCCTCTCTTCCTGCTCTTGGCGACCCGGAGTTGGACTCTCTTCGTGCTGCCAGTCGTACTGTCACGTGTCTCCTTGCTACTGTTGTCACTGACCCTTCTTTCGAGTCCACTGCTGCGTATGCCCTAGTTGAGCTCGTCGACTTTGCTGCTCGCTGTCGCCTAGACTACGCTGCTAGTCTTGTTGCTGAGTCCGAGTCTGTTTGTCCTCCGTCTATCGGGGGTGAGTGTGCTCTTGGCACGGACGTCCTTGAGGACAGGCAGGAGGAGTTCCAGTGTCTGGCAGCTGCTTCACCTCATCTCGTGTCCGTACTGCTTACCCCTGAGGGAGACCCGGATGCACTTGACATCCCGACTCCGCGCTCTTACGCGGAGGCCATAGAGGGTCCCTACTCCTCTCAGTGGCAGGCAGCTATGGATGCAGAGATGGCTTCCTGGAAGTCCACAGGCACCTACGTTGACGCTGTCCCCCCTCCTGGGGTGAACATCGTCAGTGGCATGTGGATTTTCAGGGTAAAGCGGCCGCCAGGTTCTCCGCATGTCTTCAAGGCGCGTTACGTGGCTCGTGTCATCGGTCAGCGGCAGGGAGTTGACTACTTTCAGACCTTCTCCCCCACCCCGAAGATGACCACTCTTCGGGTACTGCTGCACGTTGCTGCTCACCGTGACTACGAGCTGCACTCTCTTGACTTCAGCACTGCTTTCTTGCAGGGCAGCCTGCACGAGGAGATCTGGCTGCGTCGCCCACCTGGCTTCACTAGGTCTTTCCCTCCTGGTACCCAGTGGAGTCTCCGGCGTCCAGTCTACGGTCTCCGCCAGGCGCCACGTGAGTGGCACGACACACTGAGGACTAAGCTTGCGGCTCTTGGGTTTGCTCCTTCTACTGCCGACTTGTCGCTATTTCTGCGCACCGACACCTCTCTGCCGCCGTTCTACATCCTCGTATACGTCGACGACTTGGTCTTTGCCACAGCTGACACTACTGGACTCGCCCACGTGAATTCCGAGCTGCAGAAGAGACACACGTGCATAGACCTGGGTGAACTGCGCAGCTACCTTGGCTTGCAGATCACTCGGGACAGAGCACGCCGCACCATTACCCTGACTAAGTCACACATGGTGCAGCAGGTCCTTCAGCGCTTCGGCTTCACGTACTCCTTGCCTCAGGCCACTCCTCTGTCTACTCGCCACTCGCTCTCAGCTCTGCCTTCGGATGAGTCCGTAGAGTCGAGTGGCCCGTACCCAGAGCTTGTGGGTTGCCTCATGTAACTGATGACCTGCACTCGACCTGACCTTGCATACCCTCTTAGCATTCTTGCACGCTATGTCGCTCCCGGCCGTCACCGGAAGGAGCACATGGATGCAGCTAAGAGGGTGTTGCGCTACTTGTGCAGTACGTCGGGCATGGGGCTAGTGCTTGGAGGGCGGAGTCCAGTGGTCCTCATTGGGCACGCGGACGCTTCTTGGGCTGACGACCAGGCTACCCAGCGGTCGTCACAGGGTTACACCTTCAGCCTTGGTTCCGGCTCTGTTTCGTGGCGGGCTACTCGCTCGTCTTCTGGTCTTGGCTCCAGTTGTGAGGCTGAGATCTACGCCGGGGCCATGGCTGCACAGGAGCTTCGCTGGCTCACCTACCTGCTGACCGACCTTGGAGAGCCGCTTCGTTCTCCTCCAGTCCTGTACGTAGACAACAAGGCCATGCTGGCCTTGTGTCTAGAGCAGCGACTGGAGCACAAAACAAAGCACATTGCTCTCCGCTACTTCCTTGCTCGTGAGCTACAGCAACGTGGACAGTTGCGGCTTGCGTACGTGGCCTCTGAGGCCAACACTGCTGATGTCTTCACCAAGGCACTTCCGCCTTGTGATCATCAGCGCTTCTGCACTCAGCTGGGTCTTGTGCCCGTCTTGCCTCACTTGCTCTCCTCTTGACCTTGCTTGTACTCTCACATATATATATACCTGCTCTTGCTTGTCTAACTTTATATATATGTATGTACTCTTGCATGTGAACTGGCCTTGTGGCCTTGACCCTGTGCTCGGACTGTGTGGTGACTTTGTGATCCACCCTGAGCTTGCTTTGCTTTGCTTTACTTGACTGGTCTTGTGACCCCTTGTTCTCCCCCACTTTGCCTATGGGGGTGTGTCAGAATGCTATATAGCTTATACATTTGTGTAGGCTATAGTGGGGTATCCTATAGGGGGAACAACCCAATTAGGGTTAGTACTTGTACTCACTCATTTCATAGTTGATTCATTCTCTCGTTCTCATTCTCACAGCTCAGCGGCTCTGCTGCTGGGCGGCTCGGTAGAGGCGGCGTCGAGGCCGCGTAGGAGGTGGCGTCGGGGCCGCTTAGGAGCGGTAGCGGGCCCGCGGAGGGGCGGCGACGAGGCCGCTAGAGGGCGGCGACGCGGCCGCGAGAGGGCGGCGACGAGGCCGCGAGGGGTGGCTGCAGGGCCGCTATGGCGGCGACAGGGCCGCGAACGGCGGTGACGGGGCCGCGAGAGGGAGGCGGCGGGGCCGCGATAGGGCGGCGACGGGGCCTCGAGAGGGCGGCGACGGGGCCGCGATAGGGCGGCAACGGGGCCGCGATAGGGCGGCGACAGGGCCGCGATAGGGCAGCGACGGGGCCGCTAGGGGGGGGGCGGCGACGGGGCCGCGATAGGGCGGCGACGGTGCCGCGATAGGGTGGCGACGGGGCCGTGGAGGAGGGGCCGCTGAGGGCGGTGACGGGGTCGCGAGGGGCCGTGAGAGAGGGGGGAGGGCCGCTGAGGGCGGCGCGACGGGTCGCTAAGGGGAGGGCGGCACACAGGGCGCGCCTCGGTCAGGAGCGACTCGATCTCAGGGCAGGGAAAAAAAAAAAAATCGATGTTCAGTGGTGGGCCCTAGGAAGTTCCCACCAGGGAACCTGCTCTATACCATATGAGAATTGAGGAATTAAATGACTAAGGGAAATGTGGGTACAAGTAGGAAACCTAGAAATGTTTTACCCTATAGTGTCTACCCGACTACAGCCTAGATAGACCATAGCATATCAGTTTGACACATTCGCGATACTGCGTGCTTCTCTTTGCTGCGGTGAGGAGTGCACAGTAATATTCAAGTATTACTATTCGTAACATGTGTCATGCGAGCAATTACATGTGCTCGTGAGAGGTGCTAGTACCGTACTTGACATGATGTTCCATAGCATGGTTGTGGAAGATAAGAGTTGTTAGTCTGTACTTAAGTGGATAAGAGTTGTTGGTATCATGATAAGTGGTGTTTGACCTAAGCACTTCTGCACTTTAATCTGGATTCGTGCTCTTTGACCTGTTCCCCAGACGCGTTTGTACTGTACGGTGTTTGAGAGGGTGGAAGTGATGCAACAAGATGTGCTCAAACTGTACAAGGCAGGTCGAAGACAGGTCGAAAGTAAAGGAATTTAGATTGTACAGTACATGTGTGCCTCCAGATCGGGTGTGCATCGCACATGGCTTCTGTACACTGTACAAGCCAAAGCTGTGGCTGTGGCTACAGCCATGGCTATCTCAAAACATGCGGAATGATCACGCCTTCAATCAAGTTGAGGAATCATGACGTTCGTCGAATGGCCGAGTTCACCAGCAGCCAATCACTTTTCTCGTTACCCGCCATCCCTTTGAGCAGTCTGTGACTTGATGACCAGTGACCACCAAACCTTTGCGAAAACGACTGTCCGCGTGCGAACCTTGACAGTCCGTTATTGTGGCTAACGAGGACCGCCTAGCTTTTCGCAAAAACTTGCAGCACATTCTCGAACCTAGGCGAGATAGATGGGATTCGTTGCAACGAGCATCGCAAACTGGTACTCCCTATGGCTGCGCTGCGCCGTGCTGGGGCCAGCGAAATCCATTGACCAATTGAAGGCGAGGTGCATTCATCTTGCTTCCAGCCAGCGCAGTTCCTGAAACTGTTAACTGTGCCGAAACGCGTCTCTGCCACCACTGATTCAGCATGGTTGATTCACCACCACCACCATGGATTCCATTCATGCTCATTCCTCCTTTCTTCCTGTCCTCTCCTCTCCCTTCCTTGCCTTCCTTCTCCACCTCTCCGCCGTCTCTCCATCTCTCCTCCAGCTCATCATTTTCTTTGCAGCCAAAGCACCTAGTACTCTTTTGCACCATCATCGCCTCTCACACGCCTTGGGAAACTCGAGCACGGCACTTGCGTGTCTGAGGTCCAGCTTCGAGTCTACCTCGTCTGCTTTACGCGTCCGCAGCATTGTGTGCCTTTTGAACGGGCTCCGAGCAAGAACCGACCTTTCGTGAAAACTCATTGCTGAAATATTAAGTGATACGACAAGCTAAATCCACCAACGAAACATCGTCGCCCCTAGCTCTTCGCTGTTCGCTCCTCGACCCTCGCTCTTCGCTCTTTGCCATTCACTCTTCCCTCATCGCTCCCCGCTCTCCGCTCTACGCGTCATGGACGCCGCAGCTTCTTCCGACTGTTACGGTTACCACACCAGGTCATCACCTTCCAGTCCGTCTCATAACGGCCTTCGTTACAGTCACATGGCCGTTGATGCGCGCCAAGACATCTACAGGTACCCACAGGGGCATGAAAGGTTTCATCCAGAGCAGCCACATCGTGAAGAAGAACTGTCTCCTCGTTCGGCTTATAACGCGCATCAGCAGATGCGTCCACCCGAACCGGGGAGACTCGATCCCGAATCTCAGGAAGAGCAGTCCGCATGGGGGAACCAATCGCGAATACATACGATATTATCTCCTAAATATACCTCCCGGCCACCAGATAGAACGCCTCCTAGGTATTGCGATCAAGTGTACTCGTCGACCCAATCACTGTCATGCACGTCGTCGGGTATTCCGCAATTTGCGGCTTGCTCCGATACGACCGCGAGCTCGTACTCTCCTGTGACTCCGTCCGCTACGTCGCCTGATATCTATCCTCATCGCGACTCGTCGCAAGCATCATCGCACCGTCCATCGCGGCGATCCGAAGATTGGAGATCATCCGACGGTCGACCGCTGTCCGGTTCGCTGCCGATCCCGCCTCCCGCGCTTTCGTCCGACGGCTTCGCGATCTCCCCCCAGCGGCGTCTTGCGGATTCATCACCCGCCGCGTATTTCACCGACGGCGACGGAGGGCGTCGAGTAGATTCTTCCGACGGCTTCGTGATTTCCTCCCAGCGGCGTCTTGCGGATTCATCACCCGCCGCGGCGAATTATACCGACGGCCACGGAGGGCCCCGCACGGGTCCTGGAGCGCCCAGCGGCGGAGGCTTTATGAGCCCCTCCCGCCGACATGATGACCTTGCGGACCCGCCGCTCCCGGCGTATTATACCGACGGCGACGGAGCGCCCCCCATGGGATCTGGAGCTCCCAGCGGCGGAGGGCCGTCCGACATTTATTCCCCCGAGAGCTTTATGAATCCCTCCCGCCGACATGTCGGCCTTGAGGGCTCGCCACCCGCGGCGTATTATACCGACCGCAACGGACGGCCCAGAACGGGTTCCGAAGCGTTCGGCAACGACGGACGGCTGCGAAGGGATTCTTCCGAGAGCTTTATGAGTCTCTCCCGCCGACATGACGACCTTGCGGACCCGCCTCCCCCGGCGTGTTTTAGTGGCGGCGCGAAGTGGAGCGGGTCCGGAACGGACGGTGCAGCGTGGTCGGGCGGGGTCGTATCGGACGGCGGGGCATGGTCTTCCCATCCCCCGACGATGGTGCTCGAGAGGACTTCGACCGAGCCGCTGCTGTACTCCAGCTGGCGCGAAAACGGCGCGCGAAACGGTGATTATATCGGAGGAAGCACCGGCGGGCCGCACGGCATGCGACCACATTGTGACAATAACGAAGGGAGAGGAGCTGGTGTGAGCCGCGGCGCCGGAGGTGGTGCTATGGTGGCGCCGTTAACTCGCAGCGCCAGTAGCTGTGGAACAGCGGACTATTCAGCTCACTGGACCGGCAGTGGCGGCGACGGCGGTAATGGCGGTGGTAGTGGCGGAGGTGGTGGTATGATGGCGCCGTTAACTCGCAGCGCCAGTAGCTGTGGGACAGCGGACTATTCGGTTCACTGGGCCGGCAGTGGCGGTGTTGGCGGCTTTGGCGGCGGTGACGGCGGCTTTGGCGGCGGTAATGGCGGCGGTAGTGGCGGAGGTGGTAATATGATGGCGTCGATAACCCGCAGTGTCAGTAGCACTGGAACAGCGGACTATTCGATTCACTGGACCGGTAATGGCGGCGACAGCGGCTTCCACGGCGGCTTTCGCGGCGGTAATGGCGGCGGTAGTGGCGGCGAGGGTGGCGGCGGCGTAACTAACGGCGTGTGGCGCGTCAACAGCTGCGGTAGTGAAGGTTTCGGCCGCGCGTTTGGCGGCGGGAGCGGCGGCGGAGGCGGGGTTGTTCCTTGGAGCCGCGGCGAATCGTATCGGCCGCCCTGTGTCGATCCGAACCTGGGTTATGCATTTCCGGAGCGCGCAGCAGGCTCACACATGGGGGTTGCCGCGGCTTCAGATTTCGGTACGACTAGTCGCCCGAAGAACCAGCCGCAGAGGCTGAGCAGCCTGCCTCGAGCTGAGTCGCATATGATGGCGGTTACCACGGCTGTTGTAGATTCCTTCGCGACTGTTCGCCCAGCGAGCCAGCCGCTAAGAATGAACAGCCTGCCTCGAGCTGAGTCGCATATGATGGCGGTAAACACGGCTGCTGCAGATTCCGGTGGGGGTAGTCGCCCGGAGAGCCAGCCGGCTAGAATGAACAGCCTGCCTCGAGCACGTGGGGTGCGCTTGCCCCGTGACGAGACGGACCGTGCTGGTTATAACGAGTGGGGAGCAATGGAACGGAGGGATGAAGTGGGGAGAGGGGTGAATAGCTTACCGGTGCGGTTGGGAAGTATGGAAAGGAGAGACGAGGAGGGGAGAGGGGTGACTAGTCTGCCGGCGGAGTGGGGAGCATTGGAGCAGCGGTGGAATGCGGTGGGAGAGGCGGGAGGGTTGGGAGGGGCGGGAGGGGTGCCGGCGCGAGTCACTCGCAGCCGGACGGAGGAGAGGAGGGGGGTCGTCATGTTACCAGTGGAATGTGGGGCAATGGAACAGCGGTGGGATGCGGTGGAGAGGTTGGGAGGTGTTCCAGCGCGAGTCACTCGCAGCAGGACGGAGGGCGGGGGTGGTGGTGATGGTGAGAGGAGCTACAGTGAAATCAGCTGCCTTGGGATTGGCAGTGGCAGCCCAGGGGTTATCACACGCAGTGGCAGCCCAGGGGTTATCACTCGCAGCCGGACCGAAGGCGGGGAGGGTTGTCACTTATCAGACCCCCCCACCCTCCCCCGCGTTCCCTCTTGCGCCCTTCCCCGCGCTTCCCCCTGCGCACTTCCCCGGACGTCCCCTTCTTCCCCCAAAGTCCCCTCCCCCTCCCCGGAGTCCGCCCCCCTGAACCTCCCCTGCTCACGCTCCCTCCAAGCCTCCAGCGTGACCAAGCCTCGGACGTCCCCCCTGGTTCGGTCGCTAGGCTCGGGAACTTTTGCCAACGGTTACTCGTTTAGTTTGTGGCAGGAAGGGCAGGAGGCGGAGGCGGAGGCGGAGGAGGAGCAGGAGGAGGGGAAGCGGAATGAAGAGGGGGGTTTGAGTCGGGTCAAAGGTCCGATTGCTACTGGGAATGGGGATGGGAATGGGAATGGGAATGGGAATGGATACTCGTTTAGCCTATGGCAGGAAGGGCAGAAGGCGAAGGAGAAGGAGGGGAATTCGAGTCGAGCCAAAAATCCGGATGCTTCCGGAAATGGGTACTCGTTCAGTCTGTGGCAGGAAGGGCAGAAGAAAGTGGGGCGGGCACGGGAGGGAGTGTTGGAGGAGAAGGAAGGGGAGGGACAGGAGGAGAAGCGCGAGGGAGGGGGGGTAGAGGGGAGTGAGAGGCGCGCAGAGGAGAAACAGCGGCAGCAGCAGCAGCAGAAGCAGCAGTCAGAGAACTTACCAACCCGACCGCCCATCCGTTCCTCTCCTACGATTCAGCCTTTGGAGATCCCCTCCTCTTTTTCAGAAGACCCCCATTCTACTTTTGAGGCGCCTCAAAAGCAGCAGTCAGAGAACTTACCAACGCGTCCGCCCATCCGTTCTTCTCCCAGGATTCAACCATTGGACATCCCGTCCTCCTTTCCAGAAGGCTCCCAGGCTCAGAACAACCCGCTGCTGCGTTCCCCAGGGTCAGCACCTCGTGTGACCCTTGACCTTGACCTTGACGTCAGCCACAGCTCACCTGCTCCCCTGCTTCGCTCTCCTGGCTCAGTCCCCCGCTTGACCCTTGACCTTGACAGTGACTTGAGCCAAGGGTCGAACCCTCCTCCGCTTCCGCTTTCTCCTGATTCCTTGCCAAGCTTGGCGCCAAATGCCGGGGTGGAGAATCCTGTTATGCCTTCTTTTGTGGTTGTGACTGAGCATAGTTTGGAGGCTGGCCGAGGGGGAGAGACGGCCATGCAAGGTAGGGAAGGGGAGGCGGAGAGGGGGGATGGGGAGGCGGAGAGGGGGGATGAGGATGCGGAGAGGGGGGATGGGGAGGCGGAGAGGGGGGATGGGGATGTAGAGAGCAGGCCGACGGGATTCTCGGACCATTTTAAGCAACTTAGGAGGAAGGGGCTTGCTCAGAAACAGCTGCTGCGAGAGCAAACCTGGCTCGCAGGCTTGGGAACCAACCTAGCTGACTGCTCGGGATCAGGGAGGAGCTCAGGATCGGGTTCAGGCTTGGAAAATCGTTCGACAATTGGGGACGGAGAAAGGATGGAGGGGAAGGCGGGTCAGGATGGACAGGGGGGACAGGGAGCAGAGGTAAAGTTCGGTGCAGAGCGGCAGAACTTGGGTGCAGCGGAAAAGCAGAGCCAAGGGGTGCGGAACACGCAACCAGGAGCAGCACTGCGGTTAAGGCTGGGGACCCAAGGGGGCCAGGCGGGGCAGGGGGGTGAGGCGGGACAGGGGGGTGAGGCGGGACAGGGGGGTGAGGCGGGACAGGGGGGTGAGGCGGGACAGGGGGGTGAGGCGGGACAGGGGGGTGAGGCGGGACAGGGGGGTGAGGCGGGACAGGGGGACGAGGCGGGACAGGGGGACGAGGCGGGACAGGGGGACGAGGCAGGACAGGAAGCAGCTGTAGAGGTGAGCGGGGAAGGACAGGAGGAGTTTGATTTCCAAAGCTCACTGGACGATGGTTGTTTCAGTGCCACATTCAGTGGGGTTGGCAACAGTAGCGGCAGCGGCGGCCACAGCAGCAACTGCAGCAGCAGCCATAGCGGCAGCACGCACAGCAGTGGCAGCAGCAGCAGCAACAGCAGCAACAACAGCAGCAGCAGCAGCAGCAGCAGCAGCAGCAGCAGCAGCAGCCAAATTACAACTGTAGTTCTACCTTCCCCAGATGTTTCTCCCTCTGGAGCAGGAGAAACAGCGTGTATCCCCAGAGCGACTGCCTATTTGTCAGGTAAAGCCTTACAGACAGGTAAAACCTCCCCCAGATGCAGCCCAGCAGCTAACGCCTCTCTCAGACGCAGTCCAGCAGGTAACGCCTCCCCCAGACGCAGCCCAGCAGCACCAGGGCTGTCTGCTTGGGCTTGTAAGGGTTCTGATAGTTACGGTGGTGTTGCCGGTGCCGGTGGTGTTGCCGGTGCTGGTGGTGGTGCTGCTGCTGGTGGTTCTGGTGGTGGTGTTGGTGATGGTGCTGATGATGGTGATGATGCGGTAACCAGCACTGAACACGCCCTAGGAGCAAATGAGATCTCTCTTTGCTTGGGGATTGCCAACAAAGCAGCAAAGGAGGAAAGAGGGAAAGATAAGGTCAGGTGTTCTCCCAGGTATTCGCCCAGGTGCTCCCCCACTGCCTCGCCTAAAGGGAGTAGCATGTCGTTTAACCTGTGGACACCTGAGAAAGCCCCTGAGACGGGTCAGAACAGCCGGATAGAGAACTTGCACAAGCACCTGATGGGACTCCAGGCTCAAGGGCTTGACTTTGCTGCTGTTGGTGTTGCTGTTGGTTGTGGTGGTGCTGCTACTGCTGCCACTGCTGGTGCTGCTGTTGATGTTGGTGGTGCTGCCGCTGCTGCCACTGCTGGTGCCGCTGCTGCCACTGCTGGTGCTGCTGCAGAAGCAGCAACGGCTCAACCAGCAACAGCCGGGGCAGCAGCAGCAGCACAGCCACCGCTAATGCGGGCCATATCAGGGCGAGACGTTGATGCTAAGCTGAGGGATCTGGCTAGAGTGGCGTCAGCTGCAGCTCCGGCAGCTGGAATCGCAGCAGCACCAGCGGTACCAGCAGCACCAGCTGTAGCAGCAGCACCAGCTGTAGCAGCAGCACCCGCACAGCCACTGCTAGTGCGTGCCACATCAGGGCAAGACCTACATTCAAAGCTGAGAGATCTGGCTAGAGTGGCGTCAGCTGCTTCACCAGCAGCGCCAGCAGCACCAGGAGCACCAGCAGCACCAGCAGCGCCAGCAGCACCAGCAGCACCAGCAGCACCAGCAGCACCAGGAGCACAAGCAGCACAAGCAACTGGAACCGCAGCAGCACCACCACCAACAGTACCGACAGCAGCGATACAGCCGCCGCTATTGCGGGCCACATCAGGGCAAGACGTTGATGCCAAGCTGAGGGATCTGGCGAGAGTGGCGACAGCTGCAGCAACAGCAGCTGGATCAGCAGCAACACCTGCACTACCGGCAGCAGCAGCTGCTGCTGCTTCTGCAGCTGTTGCAGCAGTGGTAGCAGGAACAGCAGGCTTGGAACGACCAGCAACAGCAGAAGCTGGAGAGGCACAGCCGCCGCTATTGCGGGTTGCTTCAGGGCGAGGTGTTGATGCCAAGCTGAGGGATCTGGCTAGAGTGGCGTCAGCTGCAGCACCAGCAGGACCGACATCAGCAACAGTTGCAGGAGCAGCAGTAACAGCACAAGCAGCAACAGCAGCAGAAGCAACAGCAGCAGCACGTGAACCGTTAGCAAGGGCTTTAATGGGAAGGGATTTGGATTCTAGGCTGCAGGATCTAGCCCGAGCAGCATCGGCTGCAACAGCAACAGCCAGTGCCGCAAGGCCCGTGGCACTCGCACGCGCACAGACAGCAAGAACAGAATCAGCATCACCATTTGCGGCACTGGCACGCGCACAGACAGCAACAACCGGCTCTGTTGCTTCCGCGTCAGCTTCACCATCATTAGCAGCAGCGGCAGCAGCGGCAACTGAGGAAAACCAAGCGAGCAGCACCTGGATTGGCAGCAGCACCTTCGGGCAAAGGGCTAGGGGGAGCAAGGAGAATTTGGAGGTGGTGAGAACATACTCTGAACCAGCAGCTCTGGGGGGTGTTGAGTGTGTTCTGTCTGCTAATATGTCGACTTCTGATCTCTCGGTTTCCAGCAATGACAGCTCCCACCAGCAGCAGACCCAGCAGCAGCAGCACCACCATCACCAGCAGCAGCAGCAGCACAACCAGCAGTCTCAGCACGCTTTGCACCAGGTTAACGGAAGCCAACTGGGGCAGAACCAGAGGCACGAGATTAGCTTTGAGCCGACTCGAAATGAGCCTGAGTGTGATCAGGGGGACGGGTTGATGGACCTGTCGAGGTCGTATGGGGGAGATAGTGAGTTTTCTAGGGATTGGAATTTGGGGGATGCGGATCGTTTGAGTCACGTTCCCCGTAGTCACAGCCGCCGACGAGGAGGTGGGGGAAGCAGCGGAGGAGGGGAAGGAGGAGGAGAGGGAGGGGGAGGAGGGGGAGAGGGAGGGAGGAGAGGAGGGGGAGAGGGAGGTGGGGGAGGAGGGAGGAGCGCGTTCAGGCAGCTGCTTGGGGTGTTTAGGTTCAGGAGGGCGGAGAGTAGGAGTGTGAGTGTGAGGGAGACCCAGTCGCATGATTCTTCCTGGACCAGGCGCAAGCCCCCATTCCCCTGAGTGGTGGGCTCGCTAAAGCAGATACTTGAAGTTCAGGTTTAGAAGGGCAGAGAGTAGAGTGTGCGGTTGGGTGTGAGGGAGACTTAATTCCTGATGCATTGTGGACCAGGCGCAAACCCGCATTCCCCTGAGGGGTGGGCTCGTAAAGGCAGCTGCTGCTTGGGGTGTTGTTGTTGAGGTTCTAGAGGGCGGAGAGGAGTGTGCAGCAAACCGTGAGGGAAACCCAGTCGCATGAGTGTTGCTGAGTTGATTGAGACTTAGGGAATGTGCTGTAGGGGGTTGAAAGAGCAGCCGGAGCAGTCAGGAGCGAGTGTGTGACTGGGTGTGATGTGAGGGATGCCTGCTGTGCTGAGACGTGATGAATGAAACATGGGTATTGTACTGCAAGTTGTACTTTGTAGTCTTTCTCTTGCCTGTCAGACAAACTGTTTCCAGCAGTGCATTGTACTGAGACGGAAAATGTCGAGGTGTTTTGGGAAGCATTTGCAAATGGTTGTGCAAATGCAGCACTCCACATGAAATGATTCGACCCACATCAACTTTTGGTAGTAACGCAAGTACATATACACATGAACTGTAGGAGCCAATCAGTACTACAGCCGAATATGAATTAACCGCATCTGGTTTTGAGAGAGTATATCAATAGGCATGCCACGTAATGTAATGTAATGTACGGCTGGAGTGATTAATCCCAGCACCTGCATTGTCTGCTCTCTAGTGCAGCTCCTGAAACCAAACACAGGATGGGACGATAGGATGGGAGGTATGCAAGCATTAGACATGCGAGTGCATGGGATGTGCAAGCTCCACACCAGTATTGAGACGTCTCAACTCAATGCTTTTGAGACGTTTTGCGACGTCTCAACATTAGACATGTGAGTGCATGGGATGTGCATGCTCCACACCAGTCTTGAGACGTCTCACAACTTTTAAGACGTTTTGAGATGTCTCAAAATTAGACATAACATGTGAGTGCATGGGATGTGCATGCTCTACACCAGACTCACCAACACCCCAACGAGTGGCCATATTTATCTAGCAACATGTGACCATAAGCATGGACTTGCACCTGATAACTGGCCTTTGAGTTGACTGAAAGGTCAAATCGATCCAGCATCATGTGACCATATGCATGGACTTGCACTTGATGCATGATACCTTGTAAACGACACCCCGAGGTGTCGTTTCATGTATGATGTGTCGTTCCAAGTATGGGTGTCGTTTCATGTATGACACCTCAGACGTCATCCCATTCATGAATGACCCCCCCCCCCCAGTCCCCTTCTGCCTCCTTATGTCTCGTCCGTATCACTATCCCATATATTCCTTTCATGGTTCTCCCACTTCTACAATCACATGCGACATTATCCTATCCCATGCATGACAGCCCCCCTGACCGTCCCCTTTTGCCTCCCTATGTCTCGTCCTTATCACTATCCCATATATTCCTTTCATGGTTCTCCCACTTTTATTATCACATTACACACTCCTCACTCTCCACCCTTCCTCTTGTCCACGTCTCGCTTCTCCCTCACCCCACCTGCACTCATCTCCTATCTCTCTACTCTTAACTCGACCTAGAAGTTTCCAGCTAGGCCACACGTTCCCCCATTGCCCCACACCCACTCACATTCCCACTCCCAACTCCCTACCACCTCCTCCTCGATCCCCCTGTTCCACTCTCCCGCTCTCCCTCTCTTCATAACGGCGTCTCTAAGTAGGCTCTTAGGTTTCTACGAATCCCATCCGTGCCTACCCCATTGCTCACCGTATCGCAACATAGCCTCGTTATAAGATCGTCCCGTTACAAGATCAGCTCTGCTCCGCGGTTTCGCTGTAGAGCCTGTGGATCCGCGTGTCCTTACCCCACCCGACGTTCTTAATCGACGACAGGTATTTCTGCACCAGCTCGCTACAGTTCTTAATATGATTCACCCCCTCCGTGCGGTAACACTGCTTCAACTGTTCGCGAAGCAACTTCGCACGCTCGATCGCGACCATCTTTTCGCGAACCAGCCATTCGCGATGCTCAAGCATCGCCACGGGATCCGCGTAAGGGTTCTTCGGGTCGAAATCGTCCGGCGGCGTTACATCGAACGTCGGCTTTCCCTTGAACACCATCTTCGCGGAAAGCCGGCGAGGCACGCGTAAACGGCGAGAACAGCAGCGGCGGCGGCGGCGGGAAGCGTGGCGGAGTGAGCGCGGGGCGGAAGGAAAGGAAATGGCGGGAAGGGACTGAAGTGTGCGCGCGACTTAGCAGGACTCGAGAAAAACTGGTTCTGTATTACCCAACGGGATAGCTCGATTTCACTCGAAATGTATTTTGTCTGCAACGTACGATTTTGTTTTCGGGTTTTTGGGTGTACGCAGTAGGAAACCATTTTGTTGTACGGAATAAATGTTGTACAGTGTTGGAAAATGTAGCTCCAGAAATTGGTGTCGGACTAGTAACGCTACGTGCTGATATCGAGAACAATTCGTTTATCACCTCTCCCATATAAAATTTGTTGGATCAGAGGAGGCTAGTAAACGAGTTAGCGCTTCGTTATATCGGAAACATAAACTCTCCTAGCGCCAGCCTCGCGCCTCCGTGTCTGTCGGCCGAATGGCGGCGCCAGCGGCGGTAGTGCCGGCGCAGCAGGCGGCCGACGTGGACTACCTTATAACGAACGTGCTTATGCCGGTGGACGCCGACGAAGACGGGAATCCCATGAACGGGTAGGCTCGGGATTAGTCGCGTGAGTGGTCCCTTAAGCAGCTACTTCCCGCGCCGTGCTTAATCCTCGTGCTCCCTCCCCGTTACCCTCTCCCCTCCCCCCCGCCATCCCCTTCCCCCCATCCCCTCCCCCCCCAGGTACGCGCGGTTCACTGTGCGCATGTCTCGCGGAGTGATCGAGTCAGTGGTCCGCACATCCCCCATCACACCCCACGCCGTCACTCACGCCGCTGCCGCTGCTGCCGCTGATGGCGCTGGTGGTGCTGCTGCTGATAGTACTGTTTGTGATGCTGCTCCTGGTGCCGAGGCTGGTGACGCAGCTTCAGCGGGTGGCAGGGCTGTACACGTTATAGACGGAACCAATAAGATGGTACGTCCTTTTAAATTACATCCTCTGCAACAATGTCCATAGACCCTCCCTCTGCCTACTGTGTAAGTAACCACTCTCTCCATATTTTTTTCGTCTCCCTCCTCCCTCCTCCGCTTCCCCTGCTCCTGCTACTCTCCTGCGCTCTTTCTTTGAGTCAGCTGCTGCCAGGGATGGTCAACGCACACACGCACAGCATAGAGGCATGGGGCAGAGGAGGTATTGTGCCTCTGGTGAGATGTAACAAAGTTCGGTGAGATTTAACACGGTTTGGTGAGGTGAAACGCCTTTGGTGAGACAAGACGCCTTATAATGAGATGAATGGCAGGATTAGCTGCTGGGGAGTGCGAATTGTCACAGAAAAAAAAAATCGTCGTACTTGATTTTTTTTTTTTTTTTTTTCACCCGTTTCTCTTGATTCATTCTTTGTTTTTTATTCATACACGATGCCCCTGCTTCCTCTTACCCTCCGTTCCAGCCTCTGGAGCTGTGGGTAACTTCGCTTTTTACCCACATGGACCCCCGAGGTCCCAACCCCTCGGTTTCTCCGGATGTGGTGAGAGAGGGAGGGGAGGGGTGCGTTGAAGAGAGGCGAGGGGAGGGAGGGGTGTAGTGATGGGAGGGGAGTGTAAGGGTGGAGCTCGGTTTGAAGGGGCGGAATGGCGTGATGGAGTGGGGTTGAGGGGGGAAGGGATGGGGTGGTGTGGTGAGGGTGAGGAGCGGTGTTATGTCACTCAATTTGGCATACCACACCACACCAACCGCATTAAACTTGATCCCACCACACCACACTGCACTACACCTCACCGTACCACATCCCACCGCACTTCACCACACTGCCAGGTGTATTGGGCAGCAGTACACACGGCAATAGAGACTGTCATGACTGGCGGCACAGCCGTGATGGATCACCTGTGAGTATACCTCTCTACCCTTCTCCACCCCTCTCTGCCACTCTTCCCTCCCCCTCTGCTGCTGCTCCACGCCTCTCCAAGCCTCTCCACTCCTCTCCGATACTTCTGCACCGCATTAAAACGTCGGCTACATGTACCCTTTCTTATCTTTGTCTGTATCACATCCGCTTAACTGCTTCCTGTCCCAACCATGTCAACCTCACTTCCCTTCCCTTCATTTTCCCCCATTCCAACCCTAATGCCCCTCCTATTCCCGCGTCACTCTCCCCCCTCAATCCCCCCAGCTACATCCGGGATCTATCAGATCTCGAGGCAGCAGTGCGGGCATACAAGCACGTCAGCATTCTCCCCATCCCCCAAGTTCACCCCCCAGCTCCCCCCCATTCCAACCCCATTCCCCACCGCTTCACCTCTCGCAGGTACATCCGAGACCTATCAGACCTCGAGGCAGCAGTGCGGGCATACAAGCACGTTGGCATTCGAGCCTTCATTGCCCCGTGCGTGCCACTCCATTCCACGCCACATCCACTCCCACTCCACTCCACTCCACTCCACTCTGTGTTTCCCCGAACGATCTCCGTGGCTTCATCACCTCATGCGTCCCTCTTGTTGTGGTATGGTCTTCCTTTTTGTGACCTTTGAAACAACCTAAGCATACTTGTGTCTCCGTCGCAACCAGAGGCAAACGGAACGGAACGTTTTAGGAGAAGCTCCGAGCCCCTTTTCCCATTGTATACCCCTCACTCACTCTGTGGGTCCCACCCCTTGCCTCCATTGCCACTACCCCTCACGACCCTCCATTCCCTGTGCCCCCCGTGTGCCCTGTGTGCAGTATGCTGGGCGATTTAGACGTCTCAGTAAGTCCATCTCCCTTCCTTTCAACCTTTCTTTCTTTCCGTTCTTCACGCCTTGAGACGGCGGTCAATTTCACTCACCTTGTCAATTCCTCCTCCACTGCACCAATGGGGGCTACCTATTGAAATGTCTGAACATGCACCAATGGGGACTACCTATTGAAATGTCTGAACATGCACCAATGGGGGCTACCTATTGAAATGTCTGAACATGCACCAATGGGGGCTACCTATTGAAATGTCTGAACATGCACCAATGGGGGCTACCTATTGAAATGTCTGAACATGCACCAATGGGGGCTACCTATTACCCTACAATCACCATCTCTGCCCTTCTTAGAACCCTCAAAACTAATCCCTTCACTCTCCCCCAACCCCCCATACCAGAACTACATCCCCTTGACGTCAAGGGAGCCAGTGTCGGTTTTTGAGTCGACTCAAAAACCGACTACTTCCCCTTGATGTCAACGGAGCCTGTGCGTGCAACGGGAGGGCGAGGCAGGAAGGAGTGTGCCTGCTGCACGGTGCATCCCAGCCGAAATAACTTTCCCCTTTCTCCTCTCCGCACCTCCCACCCTTCTCCTTCCCCCCCCCACCAGAACTACTTTCCCTTGGTGCCAGATGCCTGCGAGCGCAACGAGAGGGCGAGGGGGGAGGGGGCGTGCCCTTGCAGTACAAGAGATGGTGCTGCACCCCGTGCTGACAACCCTTCCCTCCCGTTCCTCCCCACCTCTCTTTTGAGTCGACTCAAAAGTCACCTCTTTTGAGTCGACTCAAAAGTCAAGAGATGGTGCTGCACCCCGTGCTGACAACCCTTCCCACCCGTTCCTCCCCACTTCTCTCCTCCCCCTTCCGCCATTACCAGAACTACTTCCCCTTGGTGCCGGACGCCTGCGAGCGCAACGAGAGGGCGAGGCAGGACGGGGTGTGCCCGGGCGCCATGGGTACTGACGGTTATTTCAGGGAGCAACTGGCTGAGCGGCAGGTGGGTGTGAAGTGTTGGGGCGGAGGAGGGGTGTTTGGCTGTTGCTTGCAATTGCTTTGGAGGAGGGGTGTTTGGCTGTTGCTGCTGTGCAATTGCTCTGGAGGAGCCATGTGGAGCGATGGCATATTCAGGGAGCAACTGGCAGAGCGACAGGTGAGGTTTCAGTGGGGTGACTTTTGAATCCCCTCCTCCCCTCCTCCCCTCCTCCCCTCCTACCCTCCTCCCCTCCTACCCTCCTCCCCTCCTACCCTCCTCCCCTCCTACCCTCCTCCCCTCCTACCCTCCTCCCCTCCTCCCCTCCTCCCCTCCTCCCATCCGCCCCTCTTCCCTCGTCTCTCCACAGGAGGCCAACACCGAGAGGGTCCTTACCCTCTGGAGGGAAGCTGTGCAGAAGTTTCACGACCCAGAGGGCGGCATCAACATTGTGATTGGTCCCGTGCAGAACTGGGGTGCTTCTGTGAGTTGACTCCCGTTGACTTGTGTTGACTTGCATTGACTCACGCTGACTTGCATTGACTCGCGCTGACTTGCATTGACTCGCGCTGACTTGTATTGACTCGGGCTGACTTGTACTAACTCGCGCTGACTTGTATTGACTCGCGCTGACTTGCATTGACTCGCGCTGACTTGCATTGACTCGCGCTGACTTGCATTGACTCCCAAAGCCTTGTTGCATCCCTCCCATAACCCCTCCCTATGCCGCACTCTCTTCTCCCATCAACTCTCTTCTCCCATCAACTCTCTTCTCCCATCAACTCTCTTCTCCCATCAACTCTCTTCTCCCATCAACTCTCTTCTCACCTCAGGACGAGCTGATCCGGAGGGCAGTGGACATCCGAAAGGAGTTTGGGCTGTGCGGTCACATCCACTTGCTGGAATCACGGATGCAAAAGTAAGCAGAGAGCAGAGAGGACAAAGTGCAACAGTATCCTGCACACACCACCAAGCATACACACCTCCTTCCTTCCTCCCCTTCACCTCCTTTTGAGCTGCCCTGATAATTTTTCTTCTCCTCCTTCCTTCTCCCATTCCCCCATCCGCCTATTCAGGCTGCAGAGCCGGTCGCGCTACCCGGATGGTGGGTGTGTGAAGCTTCTGAAAGACATCAGGCGCTACCATCAGGCTCCAAAGCTCCAGAGCTCCAGAGCCGGTCGCGCTACCTGGATGGCGGGTGTGTGAAGCTTCTGAGGCACCCTCAAAGGATCATCATTTGCTGAAGCTTCCCCCTCTCCTGTTTCCTCTCCGCAACCCCCGCACCATCAGGCTGCAGAGCCGATCGCGCTACCCGGACGGCGGGTGTGTGAAGCTTCTGAAAGACATCGGATGGCTGTCCCTCCGTGGGACCTCCTGTGCGCACTGCGTGTGGCTGGTGAGTTAAACAGATGGTGTGTGTGAGTCCGATAGTGCGCATTGCTCTAATCGGATGGCTGTTCCTCCTTGGGACCTCCTGTGCTCACTGTGTGTGGCTGGTGAGTTGGATGGATGGTGTGTGGGGCTAATAAGCACAGCACACGCCCTGTAGTTGGTGAGCTGGGGCTAATTTTATCTGCACATGTCGTCCCATCCCATCACATCTCACTCCCACCCACCATCACTCACTCTCGCCATCACTCGATCCCACCTGCACTCTTTCCCTAACCTCCGGCTCGGCTCTGCCGACTCTCCGTCCATAACCCAGTCTCCAACCTCCGGCTCAGCTCTGCCATTGCTCCAATCCCATATGCCTGCTTGCTTCTATTCAGTCTCCTCTCATATTCAATTCCCAGGAGGAGGAGGAGGAGGAGGAGCAAGCCATCATGGCGGAGTGTGGGGCAGTGGCCGTGCACAACCCCATCTCCAACATCCGTCTCGACTCTGCCATTGCCCCTATTCCAATTTCCATGTGCCTGCTTCCATTTTGACTTCCCCCCCTCGTGTACGTACCTCTTTTTCAGGAGGACGAGGAGCAAGCAATCATGGCGGAGTGTGGCGCAGTGGCCGTGCACAACCCCGTCTCCAACCTTCGCCTCGGCTCGGGCGTTGCTCCCATAAGAGCGTACCTCGATAAGGGCATAACCGTGGCTATCGGGTGCGACGGGCAGTGCTCCAACGACTCTCAGGACATGCTTGAAGCCGTGAAGATGGCGTGCATTGTCAACCCTGTGAGTAACCATATGTGCAGGCAGACTGACCGACCACACACTGATGGGCAGTGCCATCAGACCTCCGCAGCCCACCTGTTTACTAATAACAGACTGACCGACCACACACTGATGGGCAGTGCCATCAGACCTCCGCAGCCCACCTGTTGACTAATAGCAGACTGACCGACCACACACTGATGGGCAGTGCCATCAGACCTCCGCAGCCCACCTGTTTACTAATAACAGACTGACCGACCACACACTGATGGGCAGGGCCATCAGACCTCCGCAGCCCACCTGTATACTAATAGCAGACTGACCGACCACACACTGATGGGCAGTGCCATCAGACCTCCGCAGCCCACCTGTTGACTAATAGCAGACTGACCGACCACACACTGATGGGCAGTGCCATCAGACCTCCGCAGCCCACCTGTTTACTAATAACAGACTGACCGACCACACACTGATGGGCAGTGCCATCAGACCTCCGCAGCCCACCTGTTGACTAATAGCAGACTGACCGACCACACACTGATGGGCAGTGCCATCAGACCTCCGCAGCCCACCTGTTTACTAATAACAGACTGACCGACCACACACTGATGGGCAGGGCCATCAGACCTCCGCAGCCCACCTGTATACTAATAGCAGACTGACCGACCACACACTGATGGGCAGTGCCATCAGACCTCCGCAGCCCACCTGTTTACTAATAACAGACTGACCGACCACACACTGATGGGCAGTGCCATCAGACCTCTGCAGCCCACCTGTTTACTAATAACAGACTGACCGACCACACACTGATGGGCAGTGCCATCAGACCTCCGCAGCCCACCTGTTTACTAATAACAGACTGACCGACCACACACTGATGGGCAGTGCCATCAGACCTCCGTAGCCCACCTGTTTACTAATAACAGACTGACCGACCACACACTGATGGGCAGTGCCATCAGACCTCCGCAGCCCACCTGTTTACTAATAACAGACTGACCGACCACACACTGATGGGCAGTGCCATCAGACCTCCGCAGCCCACCTGTTTACTAATAACAGACTGACCGACCACACACTGATGGGCAGTGCCATCAGACCTCCGCAGCTCACCTGTTTACTAATAACAGACTGACCGACCACACACTGATGGGCAGTGCCATCAGACCTCCGCAGCCCACCTGTTTACTAATAACAGACTGACCGACCACACACTGATGGGCAGTGCCATCAGACCTCCGCAGCCCACCTGTTTACTAATAACAGACTGACCGACCACACACTGATGGGCAGTGCCATCAGACCTCCGCAGCCCACCTGTTTACTAATAACAGACTGACCGACCACACACTGATGGGCAGTGCCATCAGACCTCCGCAGCCCACCTGTTTACTAATAACAGACTGACCGACCACACACTGATGGGCAGTGCCATCAGACCTCCGCAGCCCACCTGTTTACTAATAACAGACTGACCGACCACACACTGATGGGCAGTGCCATCAGACCTCCGCAGCCCACCTGTTTACTAATAACAGACTGACCGACCACGCACTGATGGGCAGTGCTGGATCGACTCTCAAGACATGCTGGAAGCCGTGAAGATGGAATGTGGTGTGAATCCCGTGAGTATGCAGATGCTTTTACAATCTAACAGGAGGAGCAGGCAGGCAAATGGGTGCGATGGTTATGCCTATCGGGTGCGATGGGCAGTGCTCGAACGACTCTCAGGACATGCTAGAAGCCCTGAAGATGGCGTGGATTGTCAACCCTGTGAGTATGTGTCCACACATGCACTAGTCACAGAGATAGGGTGGCGATGGGCAGTGCTCAAACGACTTGCAGGACATGCTAGAAGCCCTGAAGATGGCGTGTATCGTCAATCCCGAGAGTAAGCAATACGTGCAGTGTAGATGCAGTGTATATAATGTGCATGTATGTATGGTAACTAAAGCGTAGTGTACATGCTTATACATACATATATATCTACATACATACATATATATATATATATATATATATATATCCAAGAAGCTCTCGCCTTCTATCAACTGCCTTCCTCTTGTCCCTCTTCTCTCCTACTTCCTTCCCTGAATACATCTCCTCTCACCGCAGCTCACAACCCCTGAGTATCGCCACTGGTTGTCCCCGAGGGAGGTGCTCAGAATGGCAGCAGAGGGAGGGGCGGTCGCAGTGGGCATGAAAGGGCGGGCGGGTCAAATCAAGCCCGGCTACGTGGCGGATGCTGTGCTGGTGGACCTGACTGCCCTCTCCATGCTGCCTCGAGCCGACCCTGTGGGGCAACTGGTGCTCACCAGACAAAGGTGAGAGGGCGGGAGGGCTGATGGGGAATGCTGGTGAGGAAGTCTCTTGCAGAGGTGCTTCTAGAGCGCAAGGGCGAGCAGGGGCGATCAAGACTGGGCTACGTGTGATGAGACGATTTTTTAGTCGACTCAAAAAACATCTCATCTCTTGCAGAGGTGCTTCTAGAGCGCAAGGCGAGCAGAGGCGAAAATAAAGCCCGGCTATGTGGCTTTTGAGACGCCTCACAAGGCGAGCAGGGCGAGCAGGGCCGAAAGTAAAGCCCGGCTATGTGGCGGATGCTGTGTTGGTTGATGTGACTGCCCTCTCCATGCTGCCTCGAGCCGACCCTGTGGGGCAACTGGTGCTCACCAGACAAAGGTGAGAGGGCATGGGCGGGTGAGTGAGGTGGCTTGGGTGGATGAGGCTGTGGTGGAGAGGCAGCATAGAGGCAGCATAGAGGCAGCATAGACAGCAGTGGCGGATGCTGTGTTGGAGGACCTGACTGCTCTTTCCTTGCTGCCTCCAGCCGACCCTGTGGGGCAACTGGTGCTCACCAGACAAAGGTACAGAGGGAGGGAGGAATATTGAGAAGATTATTGGGAGGGCTAAGGTAAGAGGGAGGGCATGGGTGGGTGAGTGAGGTGGTGTGGGTGGGCATGAGAGGACAGGCGAGCAGAAGCAGGAGACTTTTTTTAGGCTCCTCAAATGTGGTTATGAGAGGAGATGCGAGCAGGAGCAGGTGGTCTGGCCCGGTTATGCAGGCGATGATGCTGTGCAGGCCATGATGCTGTGCAGGCAATGATGCTGTGCAGGCAATGATGCTGTGCAGGCGATGATGCTGTGCAGGCGATGATGCTGTGCAGGCGATGATGCTGTGCAGGCGATGATGCTGTGCATGCGATGATGCTGTGCAGGCGATGATGCTGTGCATGCGATGATGCTGTGCAGGCGATGATGCTGTGCAGGCAGATTGGGCTGCTGCTTGAAAGAAGAGTGTTTTTGAGACGACTCAAAAACACTCTTCTTTCACGTGGCCTGGCTATGCGACGATGATGCTGTGCAGGCGATGATGTTGTGCAGGCAGATTGGACTGCTGCTTGATTTGACTGCTCTCCTCTGGCTCTCCTTTTCCATTATTTACTACCTGTCCCTCTTTCCTTCCCCATTTCCGCATCACCTTTTTTCTCTCTCTTCCCTCCCATCCCACCATCCCCCCCCAACCCAACCCCTCTCCCCACACCGCACACCCTCTCGTGGATTTTATTTCCCAGTTCTGGCATTGCAGGCAACACTGTGCATTCACTGTAGGTCTCTCTTTCAATCAACCCCCCCCCCCTCCCCCCCCCCCCGCGACTCTTCCGCTCTCCCCCCACTCCTCCTCCTCCACCTCCCTCTCTCCACTTCGATTACCCAGTTCTGGCATTGCAGGCAACACGGTGCATTCAGTGTGGGTCAATGGGCGGCTTTTGCTCTCAGGTACTCTTGCTCTTATCATTCTTATAGTTTTGAGGCGCCTCAAAACTACTCTTGTTGTTCTCATTCTCACGTGTTTCCACCGGTGCCTCCCGATTATCGAATTTTATCCCATGCATCTTGTGAAGGATTTGTCCTTTTTTTTCTGAGATTGCAGAACAACACCTTACCTTCTCACTAACGTTTATCCCCGTTATTCACATCATCACCTGTTCAGATGGAGTCCCTACAACAGTTGAGTTGCCTTCGCTTCGCCGAGCTTTAACCGAGCAGCAGCCTCAATACATGGATCCACAAATCACAGATGTGAAAGGGAAACCCATTGAGGTAAGTCATTCTAGCATTCTACACCCTTTACATTGTATTACACCATTAATATGTTAATTCCACCTATGGTATTCTTGCACCATTATTTAATTTTGTTTCTTCTTCTGCTTATCATGGTGCATAACATTTGGATTTCATTGCTTGTATGATGGCACGGGCACTTTTGGTTTGAATCACAATCTTCTGACTTCAGGTGGAGTATCGTGCAGCAATGGGGCTTGACACCCCGCTTGGGAAGCACAACAAGATCCACACCTTGGATTACCCTAATTATAGGGTCAATTATCATGCTGATATTCCATCCATCTCGAAATCTTGATTGGAATACAACATTTTATACATTATAATGTTGGATGTCAAGAAGTTGTTAAATGAAGACATAATGCCATAATTTTTACAACATGGGAGTCTCATCATTCAGATGCACTATTGAGGGCTATTGTGCAGAAGTATATGCACTAAACTTCAGGATTTTGATGATTAGTTATCGTTCTAGCAGTGTAGGTGATGAAGGTACAGCAAGCCGCTTTTGTAAGGGGTACATGCCAAACCTACTTGGCATGCCATTCTCAATTTGGGCAGCCCAGGCCAGACTCCATTGACTTTCCGTGCCCCGGCCACAAGGACGTCGTTCACCGACACGGAACCAAACAACATCGCTAGCTGGCTATAACGCATTTCGCCAACGAACGAAGCGGCTTGTACGATTTCTCACTTTGACGTCATGGCATCGCAGGCCCACGCACAGCTGTCAAGCGACAGTCCAACATGCCACCGAGACCCCCCCCGTCAGCAACAGCCGCCTGGCGTTGCGACGTGCAAGAAGGCCTACACGCTTGGGAAATCGTTGGGAAAGGGGGCAATTGGTTCGGACTCCGTACCTACGGTTCTGATCGAATTGAACGAATCCCAGAACTCCGTCCAGCCTTTCGGCTGTTGCGGAGACTGGTTTCCCTTCTTGGGATTCGGTTCGGGGCCGTGCCGTGGTGGCTGGTGGAGAGGGAGGCAAAACGGGCAAGCAACCTCATCCCTTGCAAATCACTGATGTTGACGCGCCACCCCAAGCCAACTCCGCCACCTCTTCACTGGTCAGGCACACTGCGGGAACATTCCCGCTGTTCCCGCGGATCACCATTTTCAAATCCCCCGCTCCCGCACTCATTCCCCCTATCGATTCCACGCGTTCCGCCCGCCACATCCAGATCATCTCCCCCTAGTCCCCCTCGGCATTGGGTTTGTCATCCTTTGATTCGTCATCAAAGTGGTTTCAGCTAGTCCCAAGAACCATTGGAATTGTCCTGGACCAATCAGGCTCGACGTTTCGCCTTGCACCAGCCTTAACCCCTAGAGAGTTCCACAAGATGATGTCGCGGTCACTAAGGTCAAACGGGAAGTAGCCTTTTCTATCTGACTAGGCTGTCTGAGTTGCGTCAGCTGCGTTGCTCCTTCGTTGCCAGAAAGCACGCGTCCCGCACTTTCTTGTCGAGCCATAGCATAGCATCCGTAGTTGTTTCAAGATAGACTTACCTGAAGTATTTTCACGGTCACGACAGTGCAGGCTATTTTTTTCGCTTTCCAAAAAAGTGGTGGAGCCATTCCTGTTTACCGAAAGGAATCGTCACTCACTAGAGCTCATCAAACGAGTGGTACTAGAATTTCAATGCCCTCCTTTGTAAATTATTAATCACAGTAATTAAAGACTTACAATGTCCTCTTCCAGCCATACTCGCGAAGGCGTGGCGGCGGAACTACAAGGCCGCTACGGAAGGCCAACGGACTCGCTAGAAGACGCGTTAGCGCGTATCGAAGTGCCAGCATTTGAGGAAAGAACTGGTACCGGCGATCCTAGCAGCAACAAACCGAGAAGCAGCAAACAAAGCACGAGCAAGCCTAACAGCAGCAACTGGCGCAGCAGCAGTCCAGGCAACAACCCGTCTGGCGGCAAATCGTCTGGCACCAAGTCCTTGACCAACTCAGCAGAACATCCAAACGCCTCGTCACCCATTCAAGCCTCCTCCTCATCGCAACGAACCTCTTTAAGATCTCGCCTGGCCAGGCCTTTCGCGGCCATGGTTCCCGCCTTTTCCCGCTCATCCCCGTCAGCTTCTGCTCAAGTCGACCCCGACCCTGACCCCGAGTTTCCCGAGGATTACCGATACGACGGGAATTCGGTAATGGATATGGAGTCTTTAAGCGGCGGGTATACCTCGGACTTTTCGCTTATGGCAACGCCGTCTATGTCTCTGGAAGACGCCCTCGCCCGAGCCACGGAGGCAGCTTCGGAGACGAGCCTCAGCTCCGTGCCAGACGAGACGGTAGCTTCTAGCGGAGGCAGGAATGACGCGTTTATGGACGCTGCGATTCAGCGTATGAGAGACGAGCTCGCGTCGATGGGGAAGGCGGAAGAGAGCCTGGAAGAAGCCATTGCGCGGGCTGCTAACGCGGGTTCCGCGGGTACTTCTTGCGCGCCATCCGCGCGCGACGCCTGCGCGCCATCCGCGGGGGATTCCCGCGCGCCTGCGGGTAACGCGCACGCGAGTGGAGCGTCTCGTGGCACCGGCAAGTCTGACGATTTCATGGATGCAGCAGTGAGAAGGATGCGCGAGGAGCTGGCGGGAATGGGGCAGGCGGATGAGAGCTTGGACGATGCCATTGCGCGGGCTGCTGGTGCTGCTGGCGCTACTGTTTATGGGGCTAGCTCGCACGCTTCTGGGGGTCCGCGTGGGGCTGAGGGGAGTGGGGTTGGGGGAAGTAGCGGTGGGAGCAGTGACCCGCGCATGGATGCAGCCGTGAGACGGATGAAAGAGGAGCTGGCTGGCTTAGGTCAGGCGGATGAGAGCCTTGACGACGCCATTGCCCGCGCTGCTGCTGCTGCCGGTAGTGGTGCTGCTGGTGCTCCTGAAGGCGTTGTTGGTGTTCGCTCTCACGCTTCTGAGGGTTCGCGTGGGGCTGGGGGCAGTAGGGGTGACCCGCGCATGGATGCAGCCGTGAGGCGGATGAAAGAGGAGCTGGCTGGGTTAGGACATGCGGATGAGAGCCTTGACGACGCCATTGCCCGCGCTGCTGCTGCTGCTGGCAGTGCTGATAGTGCTGTGGCTGGTGCTCCCTCTCACGCTTCTGATGGTTCGCGTAGGGGTGGGGGCAGTGGGAGCGGGAGCAGTGACCCGCGCATGGATGCTGCCGTGAGGCGGATGAAAGAGGAGCTGGCTGGCCTAGGTCGGGCGGATGAGAGCCTGGAAGACGCCATTGCCCGCGCTGCTGCTGCTGCCGGCGACTTTGGGGCTGGGAACAATGGGGGTGGGGGCAGTGGGGGTGGGGGCGGTGGGGGCGGTGGGGGTGGGGGCAGTGGGGGTGGGGGGAGTGGGGGTGGGGGCAGTACGGGTGACCCGCGCATGGATGCAGCCGTGAGGCGGATGAAAGAGGAGCTGGCTAGCTTAGGTCAGGCGGATGAGAGCCTTGAAGACGCCATTCTCCGCGCTGCTGCTGCTGCCGCTGCTGGTGCTGCTGCTGGTGCAGGTAGCGCCGCTGCCAATTCTGCCGCCGCCACTCCCTCCCCCCACCTGCAACCCGCGAACCCAGAACCCCTCTCAGCATACGCACAGCTCAACCCAGCCTTAGCCGATCTCGACCCAGACCCCCAGTTCCCAGACGACTACCGCTACGATGGC